GCTCCTGCTTGGAATTCTGTGATACTCTGTGTTACTACCACTTGGTGTTTGTGCCTTTCCTGATATGCATAATTGAGTATTTAAAAAATTCAAAGGAGATTTTGTGAGAACAGTCTGGGAGGGCTAAAAGGGTCCTTGAGCAAAGAAATGGACACTCTTTGTAGAGCCTGAGATAGCAGCACAGTGGGACAGTATGTTATTCAGAACAGACCACCTAGAATCTCCTTAGCATTCAAAAAAAGGAGTGATCATGGCGAATGTCAGATGCGTGAGATAAATGTATGTGTACGCACAATCTACACATTTTGTGTGATCATGCATTTTTAGTGACTTGTAGGCATTAATCGTGGCCTCTGGATCTTTTTAGCATTAAGAAAGAACAATGAATTTTCCAACTAACAGATTGTGTTTCAAGATTCACATCCTCTATATACCATAGTTACAAATAAATGAGTGAAATATTAGTAAAATACAGGTATCCCTCTGTTTGGGGGAATTTTTCAGTATACCACTTAATTTTTAGAGAGGACCTGTCTTTGTACCTGTTTTTACTAATTGAAATATCTGAATATTTTCACTTCTATGAAAAGCAGAATAGCATCAGCTTTTTTGCAGCAGCCATTTGAGAAGGAGTGTGAACCCCAAGTGGCCAGAGTTGTACTGTCAAGCTTCTTCCCTGCAAAGTGCTTTTTACAGATTGTATATTTATTATATCATTCCTGCTTTTGTTCTGTATTCGTGCTATTTTAGATTTTATGTGTTTTTGGTATGATCTGAGAAGTTGTTTTGGGGTTTTGGACTGCTCAATTTTTTTTTTCATATGTTAATGGTAATTATTTTATACCATTTTTGGTTTATGGAAACTTTCATAGATATATTCTACTTTTGGATGTCAGGGAAAACCTATAATACTATCTGGTTAAAGAAAAGTAGGTAATAATGGATATAGGAAAATTAGTGACAGTCGTGTTGGCCATATAAGAGTTTTTGGGATATCTGCAAATGTTCTCCAAAGCTTACAAATAAGTGTTGACTTCCTTTCAACGATTCCTAAGTATTTATTAAGAGACTGTATAGCCAGCTGCTCTAAAGAATTCTAGAGAAACGTGCAGTATTTGTCATTTTCAACATAGAGTCTGATTGGAGAGACCAAATTCACATAAATGAAATCGAAGATAGCAACATATACATATAAAAGTGATAGTATAGTTTTGGAAATGAACTTGTGTATAAAATTTATTCCCAGACTGTATTAATATAGTTTATATGAGGGAAAAAAAAGACAAAAGATGTATTGAAAACCCTAAATCAAACCATTGTCTTTTTACTGAACAAAGTGTGTTTGATAATAATGGGGCATGGGAGTATTCAGAGGAGCCAAGGAGACAAGGCACAGATATTTTTGGGAGTCCTGGGAACTAGGTAGGTTGTATAGGAGAAACATCATTGAAATTACAATACAAATAAACAATAAAAATAATTAAGCCCAGGGCCCCCGCTGGTGGCAAAGGCAGTTGAGCACAGTGCTGTGAAGCTGTCCACAGCCTCTGCAGTGCAGGTTCGATTCCCGGCCGGCTGGGGAGATACCTACATGGTGCAGCAGACCTCTCCTATCCGCCCGCTGCTCCCCTCAGCAGTGTGTTTCAGTCAGTCTGCCTGTTCTGCTCCCCGTTCTGTTTCTGGTGAATCCTCTCACCCTCCTGCACATCTGGCCTGTACCCCGGTTCCTGTATACATACATAAATAAATCTTTAAAAAAATAATTAAGCCTAGGAAGCTTACAAAATCCTGCATGTTATACCCTGTGGCATCTCTTGTCTTTAACTTGGTCTATGCTTTGTCTGGGTCTACTGTGCTTGTTAGAGAGCTGCAGTCAGGTAAGGTCTTGTTATAGATTTAGTTAGATTCCAGGATCATGGGACAGTTAAGTGTGGAGAAGACGGATTTGGAGTTCAGAAAAAGACTAGTGTTAAGTCTAAGCTCTCATTTTTTCTGAATCTGAGTTTTCTCATGTATAACTTGGAGACAGTGATAATACCATCTCATCAACATCAGTTTGAGAAGATTAAACCAGGATATCTATGCATATCTGTTATACCTGGGCAAGTAATATGAATTGAATAAATGGTAAGTCACATGATCCAATCAGTTCTCTTGAATATAATTGAAGCCACTGTTAGAGCTTTGAGATCTCCGGAACATAAACAGTTCACAAAGCACCCAATAAAGTATCTTACAGTGCACTCATAGTTTGATGATGTTTCATTCAATGATGAATCACGTAATATGATGATGGTCCCCATAGTCTATGCTGCATAGCCTAGGTGTAGTAGGCTATACTGTCTAGTTTAGGTAGTTACAATCTTATGGCATTCATGCAATGATGAAAATTGCCTAATAATGTATTTCTTACAAAGTTTTTTCCATTAAGTAATGTGTGATTATAGTCTGTCTTTAGGGGCACTGATATTAATATTTAACATTGATTCTGATATTTCCAGTGTACATACCTTATTCTTCAAACATCCTTTCTGAAGGCAATTATTTCTATTTCCATTCACAGAGAAGGAAAATAAAGCAAAGAGCTTTTGTGAACTTGCCTCTAAATCAGGCCGCCAGGGAAGTTGCTGAGCCCCTAAATCATGTAATCAGGAAGTTGCTGTATCAAAGTTCTTCCAGGGCGTCTAACTCCAAATCTCATACAGTTTTTCCTATATCACATTCCTCTTAATGAGAACTCTTTTATTTTTCTGGAGTCCAGTGGAAATTGTCTTTCTCCAAAGCCTCTGTTTACATATGGGTACTTCCTATCAGAAATGAATGTTCTATGAACTGCTAATTGATCCACTGTGTAGAAAAGTAGACCAAGGTCATGTGACCATGGCCAGTGATCTTAGCTAAAATACGGAATTTTGTTTAATCAATGTAATATAATTTTAGGGATCACTAGAGTGCTAACTTCCATGGAGTGGGAAGGTTTCACTTACAATCAAGCCAAATTATATAATCATGATATGGGCTTGATAGGGAAAATTCACATTACTATGATAGAACCATGCAACCTAATTGCAGCAAAGGGAGGAAGGCAAGGAACTTCTTGGCAAAGTTTGGAATAATTGCAGAGTGGGAGGGACTGACTTGAGAGTTCCTGAAATCTGTTCATCTGCTGGAACGGGAATTGCCACTTCTCAGGGCAAGAGTCTCCAGCATCTCTCACCAAACCTAGAAGAAGGCATCAGGACTATAGGTGTGGAATCCACAAATATTACAAGTTGTCTCAAACTTAGTGCCTTTATGTACATCAATTTTTAGAGGCATATTATCAGGACCACCGGTTGATTTAGGAGAAACCTCTCGGGACAACCAGGTTTTCGTCTTTCCTTGCCTTACACATACCTGATCTTGTCACTTGGTTTAAAAAAAAAAGTTGCTTTTGAATTGGTGACTTAAGTTGCTATATCTCAACTACCTCCACCTTTGCATTTTTCAGTTATTATAGAATCAGTACATATAACATCTTGTCGATTGGTCACAATCATTGCAATGTCAATATGTAAGCCAATAAAATGTGTTGAATTGCTGATAGTTTTATCATTTGATTAGGATTTCATAGGCCTGGATTGACATTAAAAGCCTTTAACTGTTAATTCCAGAGGACACAGCTAATGAAATATTCCGAAAGTTGAGCACTTGCCAAAATCATCATGTAGAGTGAGACAACTCTCCATTAATCATGAGAGTATTTCCTCTATCTAAATGAAATATGCCATTTGAAGGCAGATTAAAGATTCTTCGGAAGATTAAGGGAAAACTACTGTGAAAATTCTAGAAACAAGAAAGTAAAGATAGGTCTACTCAATATTCATGAAGTCAGATTGGTGATACAAGTAGAGATTGCAATCTTATTTTCTAATGACTTGGCTTGTAGCACTCCTATATCAGTTTTGCACAGATTCCTACTCAACTTTAAAGGGAATGACTGCAGTTTACAGAAAGATTTTTAAAAAGACAGATTTAGCATATCCAAATGTGATTTTCTGACACCTTTGACTAAGGATCCCTTAAGCATGGAATCAGAGATGCATAAATAATAAAAGGAATCACACAGCTTGTGTTATGTATACACTATATATAATTTATACATAGAGAGAGTATAAATACTTGATGTCAGTAAGTAAACCCTACTGTTTTCATTGAATACAATATACTCTCAAAAGGCACCTTAAAGAAAAGAGTTAAAATATTGGTTTATGGTTGATTTTCTTTGAGAGAGAAAACACATTTGTTTAGCATAATTGTTTTATAAAAATACGTTAGCAAATTTTAACTCTCACTCAATTTATTAGAAATCCTTGTCTGGTACATAATACAAATCTTCACTTCCTGTACTGGGTAGGATTCAACAAAAAGTGTGTGTAATCTTTATTGCTTGATTTGTAAATGCACCAAACACATATTTGAAGTGAAGAAGTTGCAGAGAAATCTGAGCCAATTCATTTGTTTCCCCCACACCTGAAACCTGACACAGTGCTAGTACATATCCTCAAGAAATACTGTTGTGCTCTTTTAAAATAAGTTACAGGAATCTAGAAAACTTAAATAAGGGACCAGGAAAATGAATATAAGAAAGTGAAAATCAAAATCAACAAAAAACTATGAACCAGAGACACTTTTTGGGGGGTGGGGGGCGGGAGGGGAAGGATTGGGGTCAGAATGGGGCGTTTGCAATTGTATGGGGGAATATAAAAATAAAATTTAAGATTAAAAAAAAAAAGAAATAAAGCTGCTATACATGTTCTAAAAAAAAAAAAAAAAAGCGGTCATGGGAAATGGTTAGACTTTGGTGATCCAGACAGCACTGCAGGTTGCCCCCCTCCTACAAGGTGGACCAGTCCTGAGGAATCAAAAATAAATAAATAAATAAATAAATAAGTTACAGAACCTCTCTCACAGTAGCCTACTTGTTATCTAAAACTATTTCCTATTTCTCTTTTTTTCAGGCCAGCCCTGCTCCTATAATTGTCAACACAGATACTTTGGACACAATTCCTTATGTAAGTAACATTTTTATTAAGACATTCATTAAAAGCTATGGTAGAATTTTTTTTTTATTTATTTTTTTTTTGCTATGGTAGAATTTAATTGGCACTATTTAAAATTCAAAACACTCAGTATCATCCACCTCATGGAACCTTAAAAAATGATGAAAAGAATTAACTTTGTGAGCTTAAGTTTGATATTAGCTGAATTTCAGCTTAGTTATGCAAATATTTCACCTTGTGGAAACACAGGGGCCTATCACTTTGTAAAACACAGGGGCCTATCATGGGGGGAAAAACATCAATTCTCTTCTAATGTTTGTTAGATCATTAGAAAGTTCAATCTTCTCATGGATCACTGAGAAGACTGAATTGCTTATAGCAGAGAAGGAAAACTTTGGGTTAAAAGAAATATTTAAACCAATGTCTATGACAAGAACAAAATGCTCAGAACAAAAATAAGTGATCTATAAATACTTAATGGAATTTGTTGGTCTTCTAATAAGAATTGGAGCAAAAGTTTTGTGAAAGTAAGGGTTTATCTATCTTCAATGAAATGGATAGTTTCAAAAAAGCATGGAGCATGAGGTAATAGCATCAGGCAGATCTGTAAAGCCTGAGATTCTGTGCCTGCGGTGCACCATTCTAATGGCCTGATTTCTGGATGACAGAGCTTGGCTGCACAAAGGAGATTGGAGACCTTCGGGGCAACAGGGTACAACGTGGGTGAGCAGGTTATATAAGACAGGTCCAGTAAGGCTTTGTGAGTGGCCCTTTCTGATGGGAAGAGGATAGTGAGGTGGAACATATATGCATTCATACAAATATAAGGTGTGAAGCAAGAGACAAATTGCAGAGAAAATGACAGGAACAAATAAATTTCTGGACTTTCATTAAATGAGAAAAGCATGGGAGGCACTTACAAGAGTAGTTGGCACAAAGTACTTGGAAGATACTAGTTATTCTCAAATGCTTATAAGGACCAAGCAAATCACAGAAATATATAGAGCAGATGGAGTAGGGATATCAGGAAATAGAGATCACATCTTCTCGAGGAGGCAGCTCCCACTCTGGGTTAGCACCAAGGGGACATGGAGGTCAAGTGTTATACGATCATAGAGGTTTTCAAGAGAGATCAGAAATTTTATCTTTCCTATAAGAGTTTGCAATTTATATATAGGTGACTAATTTTCCAAAGTTCAAACACTCTTTGCCAGTTTGTCTTTAAAGACACAGCCCTTCAGGAGACCTCTACCCAAAAGGAGCTGCAAGTCCTGAGCAGATTTTTCAAGCCAAAACTCAGCCACTGGGGAGAAGAATGCTAGAATTGCAGTGCAAGTTTGGGACTTGATTACAGGAACAAGTGACTAAAACTGGGACACAGGGTCAGGACAAGAATAATAGCAGCTTAACTATGCTGAATCACCTACTGAACTAGGACTTTTAAAGTCTTTCTGAACACAAATTATTTGGGGTCAGACTGGAAATGGGGTTAAGCTTACTGGTAGGAATCACATGGTCCTTGCTGCTGTATAAAGTAAAGGGCTCTGTTGGAAGGAAGCAGAGCAATGCATTAAAGACACAGTTGCTGCTATTCTATCTCTCGCTCTTCCTACCTTCCTTTATTTATAAAACATTTGTATTAAGATTACTGCATGTCAGTCACTGTTTTAAACATTTAATGAGTATCAAATCATTTAATCGTTCTAACAACTCTATGAGATACTATTACATATTTCCATTTTATAGATGATGAAACTGAGTCATAAAGAGGTAAATATCTTTCTCAAAATTGCATGGTAAGAGGCAGAGCCAAGAGGGACCTCCCTGGTGGCCTAGGGGTTAGGTCTCAGTGCTATTACTCCTGTGGCTTGAGTTTGATCCCAAGCCAGGAAGCTAACCTACATGGTGCAGCAGACCTCTCCTGTCTCTCCTGCTGCTCGCCTCAGCAGTGTAGCAATATATTTCAGTAAATACACCTGTTCTTCTCCACACTCTGTCTCTGGTGAATCCTGTCACCCCCACACCTCTGGCTGCATCCCAGTTTTTCTGTGCAAAAATATATAAATCAATCTTTGAAAAAAATGAGGCAGAGTCTAGAATGAAACTAGATAGTCTGGGTTTAGATTCTGAGTTCATAATTTCTTAAGCCTCTGCCCATATTTCCTCCTTCCCTCCCTTGTTTTCTGATTTTCAGTTTAGGAGCAAAAATGGGGTTTCTTACTGCTCTGCTACATGTTGGAAAACAGCTTGTCAAAAAGTCCCAATATCCTTAGGTCAAGGATCCATGTATATATAAAGGTATTCTATGACTTTACCATAGTAAATATTTTTCCTTTATCTATTGAGAAAATATATGGTCAATGTTACAGAGCAGTTTGGAGTCCAGAGACTTGGTTTTATGAGTAATACTTCTCTCCTGTGTTAGATCTATATTATTCCATAGTCTTCTGTTAAGATTCCCAGGGCCTCCCCGGTGGTGCAGCGGTTGAGCGCTGGGTTGTGAAGCCTCCCGCGGCCTCTGCGGCGCCGGTTCGATCCCCGGATGCTCCCCGGCCACCAGAGGAGGGTCCCACATGGCGCACAGACCTCTCCTGCCACCCGATGCTCCCCTCAGCAGTGTACTTCAGTCCTTCTGCCTGCTCTGCTCCCCGCTCTGGCTCTGGTGAATTCTCTCACCCTCCCGCGCTTCTGACTGTACCCAGTGCATGTATAACCAAACAAACAAACAAAGAAACAAATAAATAAAACATGCCTCTATAAAAAAACAAAACAAAACAAACAAACAAACAAAAAAAAAAAACAAAAGATTCCCATGGCTTAGGGCCTCCCCTGGTGGCTCAGGCAGTTGAGCGCAACTCTGCGAAGCTGTCCACAGCCTCTGCAGCGCTGGTTCTATCCCGGCTGGCCAGCGAGGGTCCCACATGGCATGGCAGACCTCTCCTGTCTTGCCCTCTGCTCCCCTCAATAGTGTATTTCGTCAGTTTGCCTGTTCTCTTCCCCACTCTGTCTCTGGTGAATCCTCTCACCCTCCCACGCATCTGGCCTATATCCTGGTTCTTGTATGCATGAATAAATAAATCTTTAAAAAGAAAAAGGTTCTCCTGGCTTAATTGCCAGACACCTCCCAGGAAAAATAACGTATCAATAGTATCTAAGGATTTTTTACAGACATGTTCAATTGGAATCCCAACTAATTAGCAAAATCAGCCACAAAACAAATTCATTGAATTTCTACCATTTTTCTAAGATCAACTCAATAGCAGAATTTAAGTTCTTCAAAGGGATTCTTGCCTTTTTTTTTAAAAAAAGGATTTATTTATTTATTTATTTATTTATTTATTTATACAAGAACTGGGGTACAGGCCAGATGTGCAGGAGGGTGAGAGGATTCACCAGAGACAGACTGGGGAACAGAACAGGCAGACTGATTAAATACATGGCTGAGGGGAGCAGCGGGCGAGACAGGAGAGGTCTGCTGTGCCTTGTGGGACCCTCGCTGGCGGCTGGGATCGACAGGCGCTGCAGAGGCTGCAGACAGCTTCACAGCGCTGTGCTCAACTGCCTGCGCCACCGGGGATGCCTGGGATTCTTGCTTTTATCTTCAACATTTTTGTTCTTAATGCAACTCTCATTGAGCTTCCTTAAGAGTTAGGATCTTTAGAGAGTTTTGCTGAACAGCTTGGATGCTGAAAATGTTCCAATTTTCACATTATTGTATTCATGTGTAATTCATTTCATCTTTCTGAACCTAAATTAATCTATAAAACAGAATTATAGTACTTACATCAGAGGTGATCGTGAGGGTTAAATGAGATTATATCTATAATTTCATGCTGTGTTAGCTTCTGGTTGATATGATTTCTTTTCCATTCTATTTAATAAACACTTGAAGTAGCATATGCTAGACTCAGAGAATAGGAAATATGAATACCCCCCCATAAAGAAGACAGAAAAATACAGTAGCAAAATAAAATGGCAGGTTTAGAAATCAGCCTTTGATACAGAATTTCTTTGGTTCTTGGCAAAGGTCCAACTTTGCCCTGTTTCATACTCACTGGGTCACCTTGGAAAAAATCACTGTTCTTTTTGCAGTCTATTTTTTTATTCCCTAGTGTTCCATACTTTGTTTTCCTCTTTTCTTTCTAATGTTCTAGTTGTTCACATAATTTCAACTCTATTTAATGAAAAAACGATTTCAGAGTTCCCCAGAGCATTTCAGTCATGTTGCATAAGAACAGTTCCTTCTCTAAAAAAGTTACTTAAGTGACAAATTTTAACTTGTATATTAAGGTCCTTCTCCAAAATAATTCCATTACAAGTAAATGTATTAATTTTGCCAATTAGCAAATTTGATTTTAGAGATGCATGATCTTGTGTAAATGATTCCTTGGCATACATGCAAACAGCTATTTAATAACTAAAGACAAAGTGTGGGCTCAATGGAAAATTTTAAGTAAGTGTCTAATAAAGGAACAGAAGGTATTTAAAGAGATTTCTAGGTTTTTTAGGATGCTAAGTTAAGGGATATTAGAGCTCAAAGGATCTGACATTAACAAAGGGGTCACTGAGTTTCTTATGTGTGAATGCCTCACATCATTCATTATCATATGCCGTCACGATATTTTAGATTTGGGTAGGACAGGATATGTGGCATTGTCTCTTATGCAAAATAGGATTAAAACCACTCAAAGAAAAAAAGAGAAAAAGAATATTCCAATTTCAACACTGCAATTTCCATTTATATATATATATATATATATATATATATATGTTTTATTTCTCCCTATTATTTGTGAATATTGTCTCAGTCAGGCACTGAAAATACTTGATTCTTGGAGTAAGGAGAGCCTGCATGTGATCCATGAAAAGTCCAGCTCCCCGAAGTTTGATTTAATGAAAAAGGCAGCAGCTGGCAAGTTGCCATCATTTTCTGACATGCTTCTTCCCCTCAGCAGACTCTTCAGAGCTCTGTGCTGAACACCATCCAGACACAGCCCATGTTCTCTGCTTTA